TAACATTCACTTCTCTCGCACGGAATACTTGAGTGCTTCAAGTCCCTAGAAAGATCATAATCACTCCTCTAAAAAGACATATGGAGTTACACAACAGTGGAAGCAAAGAAAAATATGGTCGGTATTTGTAACACCCAAAAACCCTCTGAAGACCCTTATTTAAATAAAATCATGTGAATTATACATATTTAAATAACAAGGGTGTCATATATATCTCTAAAAAACCATGCTTCTCAAAAAATTTATAAGAACACAATGGAAATTTAAATCATATTATCTCAACTCAAACATCCCATTCTTCACCAAAACAAAAGACTTAATCTCAACGTAAGCAAATAAGTTAACAAACTCAGAAAACATCAAAGAATATAAACTCGTCCTGATGTTACACAATCAGAGCAACACTACCGAAAAGTAAACTAAAAATTATGAACACAAATAAGTAGGCATCTACGTCAGTCCTTTGCAACAAGTAGCATTTAGTGCTCTTCAACCTGAGTATTTGCATCATCATCACAACGAGCAACACAACAATGTAAAAGAGGGTGAAAATAAATTCACATATGTTATTTGTGTATAAAACAACAAGGATAACTCCCAATAACATTATCATCAATCGCACATATTAATTCACACCCACAAACAATTACAACGAAAATATGAGATGGTTTTGTAATTCTCCTCCAAATGCATGTGGTACCAATTTTTTGAATGTCAAAGTTATGTTACTGAATTGTCCATGTCTCTGGTTCCTCTCTGAACCTGGTTCCTCTCTGAACCTGAGACCTTCATTGATTCCTCTCTAAATCGTGACCTTGTTGGACCAAAGTACTACCTATCTCCGATAATTCATGAATCACAACAATAACATTCACAACTCATATTCAACAACAAATAACATTCACATCTCACACTCATCAAGGTTCCTCTTTGAACCCACAATTTTGCCAATGTAAGGCTAATATTGTAGTTCCTCTCTAAACTAATCAACTTAACATATTATACAATTATAGCTCAATCACATAATTATATAATATTCAAAAATACTCATCAACTGAGTAAAATTATTAACATATAAGCTCAATAATACTCATCAATAGATTAAACACATTATTACTTATGTAAGCCCACCAACAGGGTAATAATAATGATTCCACAATCTTTACAGGATTAATAGAGTCAATCCAAAACATGTCAGAGTTCACAGGAAAACTCTAAAGCAACTCTAAACAACTAAAAAAAAAACTTTAACCACTCCATAACAACTCTAAAAACATTATAACAACTCTTAACATAACAAATCTGACTCTTAAACTTATCAAAAAGATAATGAAATGTCACTAAACTCAAAAATTTCTCAAAACTCGCAGAACTGGGCACAAAATGTGAAAAGCCGTCACGCCGCCCAAACCGCCATTGCCAGCTCTCCCGTGCGCCACTACTAACCATGGATGCCGCCGCTAACCCGTGCCACGCGCACCTGCGTTTCTGGCCATTACCATTCCAGCGCGACCCACCATTGTACCAGAGATATCGCGCGTCCTCCTCTACCACGTGGCCCCCCGACTAATTTTGATTTTTCGGCAATTGGGATTTTTTGACTTTTTTTTTTCCAAGTTTTACGATTTATCTAATTTTCTGCCCAATCGATTCTAAAAGCCCCAAAAAATCACGACAAAACAACCAAGGTAAAAGGCACAAAAGAGAAACATACACTTTTATTATGAATTCTCATTATACAAGGCATAAGGCATTAACATGGATTCAAGTAATAATAATAGAATATTACTAAAGAATCAATTCAAAAGGGTTTGAGGCAAACCCTTTGGCCACAAACTTATAACATAAATACAAAATAATAAGAAGAAGATAGGAGGGTAATGATCCCTCACTATCTGACTGCCTAAACACCATATGTGAATAGTGCCCCCTTACATCGAAATTGCAAATCGATGGACTATTGGCCTTTGGGATCTACCTCTTTCTTCCTTCCTATGATTAGCTTCCTACCTCTTTGCCTCCTTTGCCAACTTTTCACAATTTCACGAGCTGACCAAACTCTACCTCACTTATCTATTTATTTACCCTAATTCTCTTATTCTCCTCTCACCCCTCAACTCTCCTTACACCTTAACTTAGCTTTTAATTTCTACTCTATTTCTATTATTTCATTTTAGTTCAAATGATACTCTAATTAAATTAAAATAACATAACTATCTAATTATTCTAATGAACTATCTCAAATAAATTAATAATTCTATTATTTCTAATATTAACTAAATATAATTAAGGCTTAATTGCAACTTTGGTCCCTCTATTTTGTATTTTTTTTCTTCTGATTTTGGTCCCCCATTAAAAACCACGATTTTGGTCCCCCTTTTGAGTTTTCTGTTGAAAAATAAACAAAAATATGGACTAAAATTGCAGAAAAAAGCAAAATAGGGGACGGAAATTGTACAGAAAACTTAAAAAGGGGTCTAAAATAGTAGTTTTTTAAATGGGGGAACCAAAATCGAAAAAAATACAAAATAGAGGTACCAAAGTTTCAATTAAACCTATAATTAAAGAACAATAATTCTAATAAAATAGATATATCACTCAAATAAATAAAACAAAATAAAATAATATAAATTCAATTAAAAAAATAAATAATTAAAGTTGGGGTATTATAACTCCCACTCCCACTTAATAGGATTATTACCCTCGAAAATTATCTGAAGGGAACAACTCTGGATATAACCCTTCATCTTACTCTTCAACTCCCACGTCACACTACCTCCAACAGGTCCTCCCTACACTACCTTCACTAGATAAATCTCTTTATCTATGGTTAGTAGCCGATATATCAATATTCATACATACTATAGTATGGACCGATGTGGAGTCTTGTTGCTTTATAACTGTTGGAACTTAAGGCATTGTGTTGGTTAGTAGCCGATATATCAAACTATTGGATAGTGCACTGATATCACGACATTGAGACCGAAAGGAGATACTAATGAGATCATTAGTTGATAATATTAATAGTTGAGTAGAGGAGCATATTACTGACCTATTGTAGTGCATGATAAATACATGATGGTGAAATATACCCATAACAAGTTTTCTTACTGTTAATACTGAAATCTCCATTTTACTTTTTGTGGTTTATTTTTATGTCATTTACTTTCACGCATCACAATAAATATACACCCTTCTCTACTTAATTTCTTAAAAACTTTTGAACGGTCTTTGAATCCACTAATCTTTGTGGATACAATATTTGTAAAACTTACTTTTGCTGCAAACATAATACTCGTCTTCCTTCTGCACAAAACATATACAAAACCTTTTATTTTGTCATGTTTTTGAAAAAAAAGTCATGTTCAAAACTTTTCCTCATGGTTGCAATGTTGACTGAGGTGAGAAGTGGTTTGGTCATGAGTTCAAGTCCTAACAACAATGTTTTGAAATTTCTAAAATGATGCTTTTTAGGACTTTTCTCCATAGTTGGAATAATAAGTGAGGTGAAAATCTCAACTTTCAACCATATTTGTGCCTTTACCCGAGGGGTAATGTTTGGGATAACTTTTCATCAGTTTTTTTAATTTTAATCGCGGGGAACTGTATTATATCTTCTCTCACTTTTACTGTGATTTTTACATGTTGGACTGAATGAAATTTATATTAAATCATAATAATTTGTTTTTTATTAATATAGGTATACCATAAAAACATAAACATCAATTATATAAACTACTAATACAAGATACTAACAATATGCCTTAATTGCCCATTTGTTTCAAAATAAGTACACTTTAAAAAGAATGTACAAGTAAATCATTAATGTCCAATTTAATCATACAAATTACTTCAAACTCTTATGACACGTGTCAATTCCCCTGTTGTTATTACTTTATCTATGACAATAGATAAATCATTTTTCTAAAAACTGCACATTTTTAATAAAAAATCACAAGTGATATATTGCACTATAAAATGGAGTATTTTTATCTTCTGATTAAGTTATTATGCAGTTGTTATTTGCGAGTGAATGAATTTACTATTTTCCAAAATAAAATAACCACTCCAGACAAAAATGGTTCAATGAAAAAATATTTAATTGAATTATTAACAGTTACCCATTGTTTCTCCATTTTCCTTTGTTCTATCACAACACCCATCGTACAACACAATTATTTTCTTCATTTTGATTACCATAAACCCCTGTAAATTTTAGAAAGAAAAACACCATTCAAATAAGTATGTAATGACTGGAATTTTAATAAAATGGAAAAGTGATGGAGTAGTTGTTATTAATACAACAGTTAGAGATAACTATTATATGTGCAATAATTTTTGAATTAAATTTAAAGGTTATTTTAGGAATAATAATGCTTGAAAGATAGTTTAGGATAAAATAGGTAGATATCAACGGTTGCCACTGACATCTTTGAAACACCACAGACACTACTTCCTCTTAGAGACTTTGCATGTATCATATATTTAAGGAGACTTCTCTCAAATAGACTTCTTTGAAAAAGTCATTTTAAATGGCCAATTAGAAAAGTCTTCAAAATCTTAGAATGTCACGTCATCCTTATCAAGTAGGAAATATCACCATCTTTAATAACAACACACATTTTTTATTAGAATAATTATATAAATATTTCTTTGTAAAATCAACATCACTATATTCACCCTTTGGAGCAATCATGTATTCTATTATATGACACATTCTGATTTCATGTGATTGAAGACCATCAATTTGAGGTCTATCTGCTTCGGATATTTGACGATAACTAGGGTGTAAATGCATAAATTTTTCTGGGGTGAATTTATGGTTATGAGCCTCTTCAAAAATTCACACTACATACCCCTTTTTGGCTTGTAACGCACATGGAGCCTAGCTTTGCATCTAATACGGGTCAATTGTTGGTGATCTCTTTTCCTATCTACCCTAGCTAAGTGCTTCTTATCACTTAATCCATGTTTGTTTCATACATATTGCCTCATTAATACTATTTCACTACTTTCGAGCCCTCTTCGCCTAACATCGCTTTTCTTAATGGAAAAATCTTTACATTTTTCATACCTATAATAAAAGTCATAAGCTTCACTCACAGTTCCAAATTCTATAGCACGGATTTTGTGAGAAGTAATCGAATTTACACTCACCACTCTATCATCTATAACTGCTTCGCTATTTGACATGTCCGCTCCAACCCTCATCATCGTCATTATCACAATCATCTTCATCATTTAAACTTTGATGAGCACTAGATACAACATCATTAACATCTTCATCACAATAATATCTAGCATCAGATAAATCATTGTAATGAATATTGTTCAAATCAACCCCAAAAAAGTCGTCGTCCATCTGAAATAGGCCAATATATACCACAACATAAATCAACACCAACCATAAAACCTAATTCAAAAATTGAAATGAAAACTTAACCTACATATTAACTAACTAACAAATTAAAAACCAAAATCCTTAAATTTGGAATCCAAATAAAGACAATGACATCAATCATAAGACCTAACTCCCAAATTGAAATGAAATCTTAACCTACATATTGATTAACTAACAAAATGAAAATTGAAATCCTTAATTTTGAAATTCAAGTAAAGACAATGACATCAACCATATAACCAAAATCCAAAATTGAAATAAAAATTTTTCAACGTAATTAACAACTAACATATTGAAAATCAAAATTCTTAAATTTGAAATCCAATTATATATTACAAAATCAATCACAAAACATAATTCCCAAATTGAAATCATATAAGAAATTGATATCATTAAATATTAAACCCAATTACCTTAGAAAATCGAGTATCAATACAAATTGTGTGAGGAGCGCGATTGTATGGGATAATATTGAAGGTTCACTCGTTGAACAATGTTGGGAATAAAACTCACGATTGTGAAAGAATGAGATGAAATGTGTGTTCGTTATTGTTTTTTTTACGATTACAGAGAAAGAATATGAAGATGGGTAGTAAATAAGATTAAGTTGTAGAAGATGAAGTTGTTGTTGGTTGGGGAAAGAAGATGAACTTGCTGATTTTGTTTTGAAGAAAATGAAGTTATTGTGACAACAATTTCATTAATTTTATTAATATTGATTTTGGAAAAATAAAATAAAATTTGAAGTTAAAAAACAATATATTGAATGAATAATGAATGAGATTTAGTTGTAAATATGTTTGAACTTAATTGCAATATTAACAAATATGAGGTTACACAATAAATTGCATGTATAATTCTATGTGGAATTTTAGAGTTTAAAAGACCTTTGTGATTGACTAGAATTGTGACTTTTAAAAAAAGTCATTTGATAACTTCACCATAGAATTTTCCGATATTTAAACCCCATATATAGAGCCTATCAATGACCTATCCAGCCATAAGTATGAAAAAATTAAATACACAATAGATCAAAATTCCACATTCAAATATATCACATAAAAATGTTGAGATTGTAATTCGTTACGTTGAAGCAGGTAGTGCTCGGAAGAAACAAGGATGTGCCGAAACATGTAGTGTGTATCGAGTTGTGTTAGCTGTCGAATTGTCAAAGCAGGTTGCTTGACATAAGATTTCGATGTAGACTAAAATAGGTATTTTGGGCTTTTGAGTTTTGGGCTTTAGATTAGGGAATAAGCTATCTCAATTATAAATAGAGGGAGTAACCCTTATTTTTGTAATCACTTCTTGCAGTTGCAGTTTTGAGAATAATATTCAGGTTGAATAAGAAAAAAGAAATGCTGCAAAAAATTCTCTTCTTCCCTATTTTGTTCAAACCATAATCTTCTTCTTCCCCAATTATTTTTTTATCCATTGTTAATTGTTGCGCAAATACATCTTGCAACCAAGGTTGGTTGATTCATTTGAGTGAAGAGTGAAGAACAAGGGATTTCTAACAGGTTGATTGAATCTTGTTCATCAAGATTGATTCGGAATTACTCAAAGTTTTGGGTTTAATTCTAACATCTGGTATCAGAGCTTTGGCTGAGCGATTCAAGGCAAGCAATAGCGATGGTAGTGAATCATCCAAACAGGCATTTTCTGGCAAGTCTTATGATTTCAAAGAGTCATAATTATGAGAATTAGTGCAAGCATATGAAGGTAGTTTTTTTTTATCAAGAACATTGGGATCTTCTGAAGGAATGTGCATCACTTCTTTCAAAAGAAGCAGTAGATAAAGAAAAGGTGACACATAAAGAATTGAAAATGAAAGATTATAGAGCTTTCTTTATAATTCATCAATGTGTTTACTCAGACAATTCTGAGAATCTGAGTGATGTAGAATCAGCGAAAGAAGCATGGTAAATTCTGGAAAAGTCATTTGGAGGCACTGAAAAGGTGAAAGAGGTGAGGTTACAAACTCACATAAGAATGTATGAACTACTTTAGATGGAAGAAAGTGAGAGCATCATATATTTCTTCACTGGGGTTACGAAACTAGTGAATCAAATCAAAGCATGTGGAGAAGCATTAACAATAAGATCAGTTGTTGCAAAGATATTAAGATCTTCAGCTCTAAAGTTCGACCACGTGGTGGTAGCCATAGAAGATTCGAAATATTTTTCGACTTTGACAAAGGAAGAGCTTTAAGAAACGCTTGAATCTCATGAATAAAGAATAGCTAAAAGAGTTATAAGCAAGTCAAAGAGTGATGTGACTCTGTAGGCTCAATCAGCAAGAGAAAAGTAAGGAAAAGAAAAGTGGTTCAACATCAAAAATAGAGGAGGCTATAATAATTCGACTGGTCGAGGAAACCAGCAAGAAGAAAATGTGTCAAACCAGAGAAGACCACCATACCAAAGTAACTAAAGAGGTAGTGTTGCAGGTAGAGGAAGAGGTAGTGGTCGAAAACATGACAAAAGTCACATTCAATGTATCAATTGTCAGAAGTATGGTCACTATGCTAGTGATTGTCCAAAAAAAACAAAAGAATCAAGAAAGTCATGCAAAGTTTACAAAACATGAAGAAGAAGAAGAGATGATGTTGATGGTCACTACAATAGATGAAGAGAGATTCAAGGACCAATGGTACTTGAACTCATGATGCTCATCACACATGTCTTGAAGGAAAGATTGGTTTGTCAACATAAATCCCTCAATGAAGAACATGGTGAAATTTACAAATGGCAATACTCTAGCAGCTGAAGAGATTGGTGATATTCTGATTATGAGGAAAGATGGCAAAAGGTAAGTAATTTCAAATTTATTATATATACCAGGCATGAAAGGTAATTTTCTCAGTATATGGCAGTTGGTCGAAAAGAATTACAAAGTGTCGATTGAAGACAAGATGATGAGAGTTGTCGACACAAATGGAAGGTTAATATTAAAAGGATCCTATGTCTCAAAATAGAACCTTCAAGATTATGTTTTACCCCAAGTTTTTCCCCTAAGATTCCTCTATCATCTCATATCAACTAAATCATATCAAGATCACACTAGGGTTTTAGTTCTTCTCCCCATCTTTAGGTTTGCTAATGAAGAATCACCAAGCAATTTGAATTGTATATTATGGTCATATATAATTTGTATTTATTAACTTTTAACTAACAAATACAATGAATGTTTGCTCTAATTAATGATACTATAGGTGATGGCACAACACATTTCATCAGGTTGATTCATAGGTTCATGAGTTTATTTCCATGCCTTCTTCAACAAAGCTTCATTGAGATTCAAGCTTCATCATTGAAGATGCTTTAAAGTAATATCATGACAAACTCTACTATGATTTATCATGCCTCAATTTGTCAAAGAAAGTCAAAATATGCAAGGGTTGGTTGACGAAGTTTGACCTAATTGGACAAATTCTTGATTCTTTGACCACAAGTGCATAACTCTCTCAATATTTAATATTTGGAGGTGGTTATTGTTGCTATGGGTTCTTATTATCATCCACAACAACCTCTATTTACATGGAAAAAGTTATTGTTCAAGAAAGTTTGTCAAAATTGAAAAGGGTTTCCAAGTCATTTTGGTGCTTGGAGAGCTAGGGTTTTGAACTTCTAAGGGATATATCTTGTTCATATTTTGAGATTTTTGGTGTGGAAGATGCCTAATAATGAAGAAAGATTACAAGTCCTCTAGATAAGCCATCAAATTTCCTTATGTGACTTCAAAAGATCATAACTTAGTCAATTTTTATCTACTTGAGCCCATTCTTTTTCCAAAATTATCTTAAGGATGTGAATTTTAACTTTTATTTTATGTGCAAAGCTTGAAAATGAGTGAAAGATGCCCTAAGAATTCAAAAGACTATAGGCCACCTCATGAATATTCACCAATTTTACAATGCCATAACTTTTTCAATACTTGGTATTTTTGGGTGATTCAAGTTTCACAATGCTCTTTGGGATGTCCAATTCAAGATAGAATCAATAACCAGAGCTAAATTTTGGAGGAAGTTCTTTTTTGAACTCAAAACATTATAGGTCACTTTTGAAGAAAAACTTATTATTTTTCTAAGTATAAAAAGTCAGCATATTTTTCTCAACTTTGACTTATCACAACTTTTAGTTCAAGCAACCAATTGATCTCACTCTTTTCACATTTTAAAGTTTGTGACCTTATCTTTCAAAAGCTTCAAGAGTCATGCCCTAAGACCCTTTGAGCTATGAACACTATGGATTCAAAGATGGTACCTTGAAGCTGAAGTTTTCTCCAAAGTCAGAATTTGAAATTCACAATGTGGCTTCTAATCACCAATTTAGCACGTGTTTTTGATTTAAACATGCTTAACCAAGTTCCCAAAGTTGAATAAAGGATCAAAACGCAAGAATTAACTGAGTTTTGACCAAAATCAAGTCATACTTTTCTCATTTTCGAGCTTCTTTTGTTTTCCCTCCAAACTTCACTTTTGTTTCTAATTTTTCTCACCATTCACTCTCCTTTAAATAGAAGGAGATATTGCATTCATTTTCTCAATCTTGAACAACCAGAATTACTCTGCCAAACTCTCTCCTTAACCCACTTTTCTACAACTTTGAATTTGGTTTTACAGCCTTCCTCAATCCATTTTCTTTGTCAATTCTTCATCCTTGAACGTCACTGAAGCTAACAGAAGAAGAACCAGGCCCTAAAGCATCCTAAATCGTGTGTGCTAGCGAAGTCAAGTTTCAGAGCTCTGAATTTGAACTTTAATAGGTAGATTCCTTCATCAATTCTCTCAAAATTTGTTACTAGAATGAAGCTCTCATCATTCTGATACTAGTCGCAACATTTGTTTTCTACTGGAAGTGAGTTTTCGCCATGAATTTTCAAATCCCTATTCAAATTTTTCCTTCTGGCTTTTTTGCAAATCGATTGAGCTACACCTTAAATAAATTTTTCGTAAGGGTATG